GATCTTCTGGATTATTAAATGGTATTTTTTTCCTAAGGAGACTCTTGTTACTGAGACTGAGAAAATTACAGAGAATGAATTGTACTTCTTGGGGCTCTTCGCCTTCTACTGCTGTTCTCTGACTTTTCTTCTGTTTGTTAGGGAGCGGAGATGGTTCTTTGAAGTCACCTAAATTTGTTTCTTCCAAATCTCAGTAAAATGGCTACTCCAGAAAGATGTGTCATAGATATTACACTCTTTTGCAAAATGCCTGCACAGAATTGGGAGTGTGCCTACTCTGGTTGGAGAAGCATGCAGTAAGTAGTACTTGGAGTTAATCTGAAAAACTGGCATGACTTGGTCCTTGCAATCAGGAGAGACATGGGAACAGCTAGGCTTCCAGGGGCATGGTGGCACCTCAAGGGCACCATCCTTTACAAATTCTCAGAGAAGTCATCTTTTTCTACCTAAAATCGATGGCTGAATGACAAGTTGCACTACTCTCTTCTTTTACTGGAGAGCAAAAATTTTTTTCTGGCGCAGCCCTTCACAGACTATATAACTCTGTGATGGTACTGGGGTTGTATGTATGTGTGGATGGTGAAAGAGAAACAGTTCCAGCTGCCCATCTTAAACATGCCAAAAATTATCATCTGTTTTGAGGCTATTGAAGGTGAAGGCTCTGGTTTCTTGGTATCTTCAAATGCCTTCAAATTGACTATGATTTAAGCATTCACTTGTCACTCTAGTCTGCAGCTGCTTCTTTAGATGTGATGCTCAGAAATTTTGTTTCCTTTTCCTCTCCCTTCCTCTTTTTCCCCTTTCCCTACTCTTCCTCTATTTCTTTCTTTTTTCTTTTTCATAATACTGGGGATTGAACCCAGGGCCTTTGCATTGAGCTACACTGTAAAGCCTTTTGAGGCAGAGTCTCACTGAGTTACTAAGTGCCCAGGCTTGGCTCAATTTTGTGATCCTTCTGCCTCAGCTTCTGGGAGTGCTGGGATTATAGAAGTGTGCCACCATGCCTGGTTTGGAATTTTCTTTATATTCCTTTGAGTTCAGCTTGACATTTAAAGGACTGTATTTTATCTAGTTTTTTTTTTTTTTTTAGAATTTCTATGTATTTTGTTGCAGGAAGAATTTTCAAGTGTCTTTTCAGGCATATTTAAAAAACTAAACAGCAGTTTTAAAATTTCTAATTGATGCAATCCCAGTACTTGGGAAACTGAAGCAGGAGGATCGCCATGAGTTTGAGGCCAGCCTGAGCTACATAGTGAGTTCAAGGTCAGCCTAGACTATATAGGGAGGCCCTGTCTCAAAAAACTTTTTTTCTAGTTGATATTTTTGGATAAACAAGATACTAGCTTCTAGGGATTACCAAGTTAACCAAAACTTTAAGAAGTTCACAATGTGGTTGGGCAGACAGGCGAGTAAATAATAAACAATGCTAACTGAAATAATTACTAAGCAGAGATACAGAAAAAGAAGCAGTGGCAAGGCAGATCAAAGAAATGTATCTTTATTTCACTGTTGAAATGTGTGTTTATTTCGCTTCACAGTTGCTACTGTTAAGTATTTCTCATTTTCTCTTTTTTGGTGGTACTGGAAATTAAACCCACTGCCATGGCATTGAGCTATAGCCCCAGCCCTATTTATTCATTCATTTATTTATTTAGTGCTACCAGGGACTGAACCCAGGGCCTTCATACTGAGATACATCCCCAGCCCTTTCCTGGGGTGGGGTGGGGAGACAGGTCTTGTTAAGTCACTAAATTGTCCAAGCTGGGCTTGAACTTGAGAACCTTTTGCCACAGACTTCTAGAGTGCTCCCCCGCCCCACCCCCAGCTTAAAGCCAACTTCTGAGCAAAGAAAATTGCCAGACACATAGAGATATTTTATGACAAAAAGGTCAATCCACCAAGAAGGCATAGCAATTCTGTATACCAAACAACAGAGCTACGTGGGATATAAAAACTCATAGAAAGAAGATCCTAAATCATGTTTGGAGACTTTAACATTCCTCTCTCGACAACTGATAGAACTAGATGGAAAATCAACAATATAGAAAAATTCAACAATACCACTGTACATTAAAGAGTTATCTCAGTGGGCTTGGGGAGCACAAACACTGCACCTTCCAGAGAAAAGACTGGCCCTTGACTAACTCATGGGAGATAACATCTGATTCCTTGAAAAATTCTGTATAGTAAAAGACTTTATATACTTGACACTTTGGGTCATGATAGATAGTTCATGCTAGTATGATTTATAGTGAACACCAGTTTGTGTTTGCCTGGTGTCCTGAGCCATACTGTATCAGTTTAATCTCTAGATAATAATAATAATTAAGTATAATAGCTTTACTGAGTTTTGTGGGTCCTTCTAGTCAATCACTGTACCTGAGGGTGGTCTTGAGAACCCTGACATATTAAGTAACAGGACCTAGTCAATATTTATAGAAAATTTCTCTCAACGACAGTAGAATAAATTTTTTTTTGGTGGTATTGGGGTTTGATCCCATGACCTTCACACCCATCTCTTTTCATTTTTTGTTTTGAGGCAGGGCCTCACTAAGTCACCTAGGCTGGTCTTGCTTAACTTTGATCCTCCTGCCTCAGCCTTCCAGAATCTGGCTCAGAATATGTATTCTTTTCAAGTATACATGGAACATATGCCAAGGTGTCCTTGGCATAAGTATTCTTGGTATAGCAAAGTAAATCTCAATAAGTTTAAAAGAAATCATATTAGTATGTTCTCTGAGTATAATGGTATTAAATGAGAAATCAAGAAGAATGTTAACAAGAAAATATCCAAACACTTGAATGTTAAACAATATACTTCTAAGTAATCCATAGGTCCAGAAAAAAAATCTCATCAGACATTAAAAAAACCCCACATATATATATATATATATATATATATATATATATATATATATTGAGCTGACTGAAAATTAAAGTATAACAAAGTTGTGATACATTGCTAAAGTAGTACTGAGAGGAAAATTTATAACACCCAAAATGTTATGAGGAATGTGAAAAGTCTGAAATCAATAATATAAACTTCTACCTTAAGAACTTGGAAATAGAAGAGCAAAACAAGCCCACAGCAAGCAATAGGAAGGAAATAATAAAGAGAAGAAATTAGTGAAACTGAAAAGATGAGAAATATAGTCAAACAAAAATGTATTTTAAAGAGCAATAAAATTTGAGACACACCTAGCAAGGCTGATGAGACAAAGAGATAATACATCATCAATATCAGGAATGAAAACGATATCACTAACATAGCTCTGAAGACTATTATTATTTATAAAAAAATTTTTTTGGTACTGGGGATCAAACTTAGGACCTTGCTCTTGTGAGGCAGGTGCAGTGCTACTGAGCTAAATCCCCTGCAAGACTATCCTTATTAACTCTTGTGAACAACAACAACAAAAAAATGGGCAAAGACATAAGCAGATATTTCACCAAAGAGGATATATTAATGGTAAATAAGCACATAAAGGTATATTTAACACTATTAACCACTAGGGAAATGCAAAGTGTAGGGCAGTGGTACACAACTACTAGAATTGCTGAAATAAAAAATGATGACAACAATAAATGCTGGTGAGGATGCAGAGAAATGGATCATGGAGACATTCCTGGTGGGAATGTAAAAATGGTAGAGCTACTCTAGAAAAAGTTCACCAGTTTTGACAAAAACTAAAAAAATACAGTTTCCATATAACCTAGTAATTCTACTATGGGCTTTTATTCCAAAAAAAATTAAAATTTGTATTCACCCAAAAAACATACAGATGTTCACAGCAGCTTTATTTATGATAGCCCCAAACTGTAAATAATTTAGATGTCACCCTACAGGTGAATGGTTAAGTTGTGATATATGTATACCATAAAATACTACTCAGCAATAGAAAAGAATGAACTGTTGATATATTCAGCAATCTGGACTAATCTCCAGAGAATTATGCTGAGTTCAAAAACAATCTGAAAGGGTTATGCACTATATGACTACATTTATATAACATTCTTAAAATTATAAAAATGGAGGATAGATTAGTAATTGCCAGGGGTTAAGGACAGGGAGTAGAGGGTGAGGGCAGGGTGAAGTGGGAAAGAAGTAGATGTGGCTAGAAAAGGGCAACACAGGGATCTTTACAGAGAGGGAAATGTTTTGTATCTTGACTGTATCAATGTCAAATCCTGGTTGGGATATTGTATTATAGCTTTGTAAGATGTTACTGTAGGAGAAAATTGATAAAGGGTGCAGAGGATCTCTATTATTTATTGCAAATGCATGCATTTCTACAATCATCTCAAAATGAAAAGTTTATTTAAAAGAGAAAAACAACCAAATAAAAAAGAATAAACGGGCTGGGAATTTAGCTCAGTGGTTCCGCTGTCTGCCTCGCAAGCGGAAGGACCCGAGTTTGATCCCCAATACCAAAAAAAAAAAAAAAAAAAGAATAAACAAACAAACTGTACCACTTTCTTACTGAGGAACTGCTACATGGGCAGGACATAAAGAAGGTACTCTCATGAATGTTATTTCATTTCCATGAACTCTTATGAAAGACTATGGTCATTTCCCAAATGATGTATCATGGAACCCTATTTCTTTGTGACATTAATACCCTTCACTGAGAGGTGTTATGTAAAACAGGTTTCCTAGTAAGTTTCGAAAGATTAACAATACAGTTTTTAAAAGCTGTAGTATTGTTCAAAGTCTAATATCCTAGTCAATGTTATATATATTCAAAAAGATGCCATCATACACAGCTTTCCTCAAATTTTTTAATTTTCAAGCTCCTGTTTTCTCATGATGCCAATTAACAACTTGCCTGAAAAACTAGCATTCCTTATACTATAATAAATGTCAAGTTACAGATTTCTATCAATATGTCTGCTGGAGTTAGGTTTTATGTGTTATTTCAGTTTAGGGTAAAGATTTACTGTTATAAAGTCTAGATATACTTTAATCATAATGTTGATGGATAATGATCCAAGCTACTTACCATGTAACAATATAAACAGATCGAAGTACTAATGTAAAGACCAACATTCCATACATGACCTGAACAAGAAAGAAAAATGAAGTCAGTACAATCATTATTCTCTGGCAAAGGAAGTATATTTTGCCACCCAAATTAGCACTTTCAACTAAATGTAAACATTTGTTATCTTTCATTACATTTTTTTGAAACACAGAAATTTTATTTTATAAAACATACTTTGCTTCTGCAAAAATTATTTTAATCCATAACAACTCAGCTAAAACCAAAGGAAAAAGGTAAAAAATAAGGTATTTAAGAGTTACATACTTGATTTTCTACTGTTGTCCTTTAATTATTATAGTGTGTTGAAATTACAGTGAAAACATCTTAATTATCATGGTAATTCACAAACTTAAATTAAAAAAGAAAGTATCACATATTCTCAGGAATTTTGCACCATTGCCATTTCCTTAGCAATAACTTAAGTTTCTTCACTTTCTCATTTATTCACTTGCTGTTGTATATGATAATACAGATATGTTTTGTCTTCTACTATGTTTTTTTTTTTTTTTGGTACTGGGAATAGAACTCGGGGCCTTGCGCTTACGAAGCAGGCAGCAGAACCACTGAGCTAAATCCCTGGCCTACTCCTACCATGTTTTGAAGGAAGTTTGTTTTCATTGGACTCTCATTCTTATTACATAAAGTACTGGGGGAACTAGTCTCTGCTTTCTAAGCCAACAGATGAAAGCAACTGTCCTGGAAGATTCTGGTTTATCAAGTTCTGGAGGTTATGTCTAATTCACAGGGCAGGTTGCAGATTTGATGACTTCCATCACAAAAAACGAATTTTCAGGATGTGTCAGTAAAGTTTATTAAGCAGAATTTAAAGTATACATTTAAAGAAAGCAGAATGTAAGCCCTGAATAGAGAGGTGCTTTTCATTACACTGTTAGTTTTTTTTTGAGACAGGGTCTTGCTATATAGTCCAGGCTGGCCTTGAACTTACTATTCAGCCCTACGTGGCCTTGAACTTGTGGCAATCTTCCTGCCTCAACCTCTGAAGTGCTGGGATTACAGACATGAGCCACCATGCCAGGCTCATTACATTTTAAAGAGGGGAGAGGAAGAGGATGAAAAAAAGAATTAAGATGTGTTAGGTACATGTAACAACTCCCCACAAGAAATGTAATCATTATATACTGCAAACATTCACCAATAAAAGTAAAATAGTAAAAAAGTAATTGCAATTATATAATTAAGTTATGCTAACTTCTGAGGAAAAATTAAGAGCCTGCTTATAAAAAATATCAAAGTTCAACACCAATTTAAATTCTGAATGGTTACATGAGATTTTAAATATCTTCCAACACCTGAAGAAAAGGTAGTTTACTAGCTCCTTTCCTTCTCTTTAACTCTGAGCAAAATTGTGTTTCTCATTTTACAACAGTATAACTCTCAACTCTTTTTAATTCTCTTAAAGATTTCTGCATTCACATGGACCTTCTCCCTGTATTCTTTCTCCCATCCCTAGTCTCTAAAGAAAAGAGATGCCCATTTCTTCTTGACCAAGATTCAATCTGTTCTTCTATGCTCTTTGTTTCTACATCTCCTAGATTTAGCTCCTGTTTTTCATCTATATTGAACATTGGATGGGTATCACTACCTAAAAAATTGATCCTAGTGGGAGTATTTAACTTTTAAGTGCTAAATATTAAATACAAAAAACCCCCCATATAGACTACAACTGTACAGGTAGGAAAACACCTGTCTGATGCAGGAGTTAGCTCAGGAAATTGGCTGGAGAAAGAAGAGGGAGCTCTGCCTTGGAGCCTGCTTTCTGGGCTAGACCTATCTTGTGAGTTAAACATTAGCCCTGGATCAGGATATCCAGGTCTAAACACAAAGGGAGAAAGTAACCAGGTAACCTTGTTTCTACACAATAAGGCTCCATGCATAAGCCCAGTGGTTTCCGGCAATCCTTGGCTGACTCAGCTCTAATACTACGTCACTGACTATGCAGTTTCGATCCCTTTCCCTCAGTGAGCTTTGGATGTCATGTCAGTTCTTCCAAGGGCCATAAAAGGTTAAAGAACAAAAACCAAACTTTACTGCCTAAGAGATGGCAGATCCAAGCTGCTCACTGGCAGGGGTCAAACATCACACCAACCCTTTAATCCCACTCCAAAACCCAATGCTTAAAACCCTCAGCACCAAGCCTCTTCTGGGTCTTGAGCCCTTCTCACTGGCCTACTCTAAACCTGTGGAGTGCACTTTCATTTTCAATAAATCTTTGATCTTGCTCCTCCTTTTGGGTGTCCTGCTCAATTCTTTGATCAAGACATCAAGGACCTGGGCAACACCTCTGATTTGGTAACACTACCCAGGTTAGGAAATAGATTCCTGTTAAAATCCCAGAAGTCCTGCATGTGTTTATTCCCAATCCAACCCTCTGCCTACCTCCTCAGAGGAAACCACTTTCTTGGCTTTCATGATAAACATTTTTTTAAAAGAACTCCCACTCCCTTTTTTATTTATGGTGCTGGGGATTGAATTCAGGGCTGCACATTTGTTGGGCAAGCACTCTACCACTGAGCTACATCCCCAGCCCAATAAACATTTTCTTACTTTTCTTTATATACAGTATTTAATAATAAAATCGGTCACCTAAATATGCATTCCTAAATAATACTGTTTATTTTGAATTATAATAAAATTTTAATGAAGCTAAATCTTGCATTACAATAGAATAGTATTGTATGCATTTGCATTTGTCTTTTATGATTCAATTATGTTATTTTATATGGCCATGAATTACTTGTTTTTTCCCTTTCTTTTTCTGGTACTGGGGATCGAACTCAGGACCTTGTGCTTGCCAGGCAGGCATGGCACCATTGAGCTACATCCCCGTCCCGAGTTATTCATTTTTGATGCTACATACTGTTTCTAATTTTTTTTTGGTCCATGCTGGGAATTGAACCCAGGACCTAATGCATGCCAAGCAAGTACTTTATCACTAAGCTACACCCCTACCTTAGGTACTACGTATTTAATTGGATGAAAATACCCCAGTTTATTTACCTATAATGTATTTGCTTGATGAACTGTTTTGAACATTTTCACTATTATGAACTTATTTGCATATCATAATGTATAGTTACAAAGTTTCTCTAGAGTATATCTTCAGGAAGGTAACTGATGGATGTATATACAGCATTTTATACAGCATAGTGTATATATACAGCATTATCAAAATGACTAAAAAAGCTACTGTTTTCTAAAGCGGTACTATTTATTTTCCAACCAACATGTATGTTTCTTTTGTTCCACATCTATACAAGTTTTCTTCATTCTTTTCAATTCAATAATTTTATTTTTCTTGGCTAACTGGATAGGCCAACACTTTCAGGAATAGAATTGGTAATAAAAGACACTGTAGCCAGGAGTTGTGGTGCATGCCTGTAATCCCAGCACTTGGAAGGCTGAGTCAGGAGGATCTCTGGGAGTTTGAGTCCAGCCTAGGGTACACAGTGAGTTCAAGCCAGCCTGAATTACATAGTGAGGCCCTGTCTCAAAAAACAAAAACAAAAACACAAACAAACAAAATCAAAAACACATTGTGATCTCATACCTAATCTCAAATGGAAATAACGGTTCACCATTAAGTATAATGTTGCTATAGTTTTGTTCTTGTTGTTGGTTTTTTGGTGCTGGGGATCAAAATGAGGGCCTCATGCATGCTAAGCATATTCTCTATGACTGAGCAAAACCCCCAGCCCTGCTATAGATATTTTAAAATAATCTTTATCATATTAACAAGATCCTTGCTAATTTTAGCTTTGAGATTTAAAAAAATCATGATTTTTTTCTGTATCACTTATTATTGTCCTTCAATCTTTCAATAGGACATTGTAATATTGAGTGATGGTCTAATCATTTTTTAAAAATTTTATTTTATTGGTACATTTTAGGTATACAATATAATGACATTCATCATTGGAAATTTGCACCTTTACATAATCTCTCTTG